TCAACGGTTGACGGGCCGCCTGGCAGCCCTCAACCGCTTCCTATCTAAATCGGCAGAGAAGTCTCTACCCTTCTTCCAGATCATGAGGAAGACGGCTGGCTTTCTATGGACTCCAGAATGCCAGGGGGCTTTCGACGAGCTCAAAAGATATCTATCTTCACCTCCTGTGCTCTCCAAACCCAAGGTAGGGGAGACCCTCTACCTCTACCTTGGGGTTAGCCCGGCGGCCATCAGCTCTGTGCTCATCCGGGAGGAAGACGACATCCAACATGCCATCTTCTACGTTAGCAAGACCCTAAGGGAGGCCGAGCTCAGGTACTCCCCTGTGGAAAAAACGGTGTTGGCCATCGTTTGGACTGTCAAGAAGTTGGGCCACTACTTTCAGGCTCACCCAGTTTAGGTCCTCACTCATGAACCCCTCGGCGCCCTCATGAGGAGCCCCACCAGCTCCTCCCGCATGGTTAAATGGGCTATCTTCCTGAGCCAATACAACATTGACATCCGTCCAAGGCCTGCCATCAAGGGCCAAGCCCTAGCGGACTTTGTGACGGAATGCACCGCAAGGGCGGCCACGGACGGGGAGCCCTCGGCTGCCTCGGACGACTGGTGGACCCTCTACACTGATGGCTCCTCCGCGACCAAAGCATGCGGAGGAGGGGTAGTCCTCATTACGCCCGAGGGCTTCAGGGCCTACTATGCAATCCGCTTCTCCTTCAAGGTCTCCAACAACGAGGCCGAATATGAGGCCCTCCTATGTGGCCTTCGGCTGGCTGCCAACATGAGGGCTCGGCAGATCCACATCAAATGCGACTCCAAGTTGGTCGTTGGCCAAATCTCCGAAGAATATGAGGCCAAGGAGGGAAGAATGAAACAGTACAAGGAGGCGGCCAAGGAGTTGCTTAAGGTATTTGAGGCACACTCTCTCACCCAAATACCGAGGGCTCAGAACTCCGAGGCCGACATATTATCTAAGCTCTCGGCAGACTCCCCCGAGCACATCTCCAAAATTGCCAAAATCGAGGAACTCAGCCTCTCAAGCATCCATGCAAGCCCCGTGATGAACATACAACAACGTCAGGAGGATTGGATCTCAGATATCACCGCCTTCATCTCCACAGGGCAGCTACCCGAGAATGAGGCCCGCGCTAAACTGGCAAAGCTGAGGGCTCCCAGCTACACCATCGAAGATGGGAGGCTCTACAAACGATCTTACAATGGCACGCTACTTCGGTGCCTTCATCCAGATGAAGCCGAGGTCGCAATGGAGGAAGTACACAGTGGCACTTGCTCAGCTCACCAGGGACCCTTCTCCATGTCCCGAAGGCTCATTCTCCAGGGTTACTTCTGGCCAACCATGGCCAGGGATTGTGCTGATCTTGCCCGGAGGTGCACCGCGTGTCAACATTTCCAGAAAGCCCCCGGCAGGCCAGCGGTCAACTATGCCCCCATCAGCACATCTGTCCCTTTTTCTCGATGGGGGATAGACCTTGTGGGCCCTCTGCCGAGGGGTACCTCCAACAACAGGTACATCATTGTGGCTGTCGATTACTTCACCAAATGGGTGGAGGCTGAACCCCTCGCCAGCATCACGGAGGCAAAATGCCGTCACTTCGTCCTCAAGAACATCCTCACAAGGTTTGGCGTCCCCCAGCAGATCATCTCCGACAATGGGACACAATTTGAGGCAGCCCCCTTCTGTGCCCTTCTGGAGGCATGGGGCATCAAACACACCTTCTCCTCCGTTGCCTACCCTCAAGGCAACGGGCAAGTAGAGAACGCCAACCGGACCTTGCTCGAGGGCCTCAAAAAGAAGCTGGAGGCCGAGGGCGGTGGCTGGGTAGAAGAACTTCACAACATTCTTTGGGCTTACCGCACCACCCCTCGGCGAGCTACAGGTGAAACACCCTTCTCCCTCTGCTACGGTTTTGAAGCCAAAGCTCCTACGGAAGTCACCCTTCCTACCCGAAGGGTGATCCAATATGACCCGAGGTCAACGACAGCAACATGGCCCTCGACCTGCACCTCATTTCAGAACGCCGGGAGCAGGCCTTCATCCGGGCAGAAAACTACCGAAGGCAAGTTAAAAGCTACATCGACGCCAAAGTTCGAACCCGGGAATTTCAAGTGGGGGACTATGTCCTCCGGAGGAGGGAAGCCAGCCAACCAAATGAGGGAGGAAAAATGGCACCAAAATTCGAAGGCCCCTACATCATAGCAGCCATCATCAAACCCGGGACTTACAAACTCAAACGCCCCAACGGGAAAGAGGTCCCTAGGCACTGGAATGTACACCATTTAGTCAAATTTTATCAATAATGTAAGAGCGGCCAAGCCCTCATAACTAGTGAATGTACTATCCAATGGCCCAAGGCCTCCAATTTCGAAGAATGAAGATACATTCAAGACATCAAGCCCTCATACTGACTACAGGCCCCAGGCCTCACCACAAGGAGAACCCCCTCCGGTACCCATTGCCGAGGGCGGACACCATCAACACCTACAACAAACAGTGGATACACCACGTGTTTTCAGTCAAGACCCCTCGGCACCCAGTGCCGAGGGTACTTCCCCACCTTCAACATCAAAAAAAAAAAAAAAAAAAAAAAAAAAAGATTAGAACACCAAGTGTTCCTACAGAGACCCTTCGGCACCCAGTGCCGAGGGTACACCTCCCTCATCAAATATCGAAACGAAGAAAAAAAAACACCAAGTGTTTCAAAGAAGACCCCTCGGCACCCAGTGCCAGGGATATGCTCTCCTAACAGCTTCCAAACATCTATTGGGAAACACCAAGTGTTTCATTTGAAGACCCTTCGGTACTAAGTACCGAGGGTAGACGCCTACATCAACTACAACAAGAGAACACCAAGTGTTCCTACAGAAAACCCCTCGGTACCAAGTACCGGGGGCTACACATCGAAACTAACACCAAGTGTTGTTTCTAAAAGCCGTACCCCACGAGGACGCATATACCGAAGGCGCCACCATCAGTGCCGGCGGCACGTAGTGCCCCCGGCCATTTGCAACTAGTGTGCAAATGAAAACCCTTCCTTGAAACGCTTTCCGCGTCACTACCCCCAGGGTATGACAGGCATGAGAAATGCCCAGGATTCGACTTTCAAAAACGGAACGCTATCCGCGTCATTACCCCCAGGGTATGACAGGCATGAGAAATGCCCAGGATTCGACTTCCAAACTGAAACGCTCCCCGCGCCAACACCCCAAGGGTGTGGCAGGCCACAGACTATGTCTAGCGCCGAGGGGACGACTTTCAAAAATGAGGCGCTTTCCGCGCCATCCCCCAAGGGGAGGCAGGTTACGGACCACCATATCTTGTGCCCAGGAAACGTCCCTCGATCCCCTCGGCACTCGGAAGGTTAACCCGAGGGAGGAGAGCCATTGGTGTATTCTGATGGTCTCCTAATAGGCCCAGCCTTACCAAGAAACCAAGTTTCTTGATGCCTTCCCTTCACCACCAACCAAAAAAAAAAAAAAAAAAAAAAAAAAAAAGGGTGAAGGGGAGTAGACTCAGCAAGAAATCGAAGAGTACACTCCAACAATATCACAGCATGCCGAGGGCTCCCCACGGGAACACCTCCGGTAATTGAAGACTCCTATTTCCCGAAGGATACTACTCAAAGAAATATCATCAGGAAACGGCTAAAGTCCACTACCTGTCCACCTCCGGTCACAAAGGGACTGGACTGTCCAAGGTCCACTAAACAGTACCTCGAACAAACACCGAAGGCATCTGTTATGCACGAATACCGAGGGCCCTTTCCCCATGACAAGGGTCAAATTCTACAACTTTTAAAGTGTATGCCGAGGGCACACACTCCTCGTTGGCTTTCTTCACAACAACAGGATTCAACATCAATTTATGCACGAAAACCCGAAGGCTACACAGGGAAGCAGCACTACAAAAAAAATTCTAAGTCCTAAAGATTGGGCCCCCGGCCCAATCAATATTAAAGCCAAGGGGATATGGTGGCCGAAGGCCATGCAATACAACAACACTTAAAAAAAGAGGGTATTCTGTCCTAAATGAGTAGCCCCCGGGGCATCTCGCAAAGTGATGTGGAATCAAGGAGGGATGCCATCTACCGAAGGCTCCCAAGGGGGATTTTACACTTAGAATATTTTCTAAGTCCTACATGCTTTCCCCCCGGTCAGCTACTCTTACATCAAGGAGGGATGCCATCTACCGAAGGCTCCCAAGGGGGATTTTACACTTAGAATATTTTCTAAGTCCTACATGTATTTCCCCCCCGATCAACTACTCTTACATCAAGGAGGGATGCCATCTACCGAAGGCTCCCAAGGGAGACTTTACACTTAGAATATTTTCTAAGTCCTACATGCTTTCCCCCCGGTCAGCTACTCATACATCATGGAGGTATGCCACCTCCCGAAGGCTCCCGAGGGAAACTCTACACTTAGAAGATTTCCTAAGTCCTACGTATTTCACCCTCATCTCAAGGGACCTAATAGCCGAAGGCTACCTATCGATCGAGGGCTACAGTTCACAAGGAATCAACACTCAAGAAAATATTCTAAGTCCTAGAAAAATTAGCCTCCGGCCAATTCAACTTACAGGTGGGGCTCCACAGTCGCCGAAGGCTACATGGCTTACTACACTTGCAAAAAATCTCTAAATCCTGTGCATTGGGCCACCGGTCCAACATTCACACATCAGGAATAGGAGCCGTATCCCGAAGGCTCTCAAGGGGGAACCCACACTTAGAAATTTTTCTAAGTCCTAGAAATTGGGTTACTGCAAACCCGAAGGCCCTATGGTGAGCTACAATCAGAAAACATTCTAAGTCCTAAAACATACATTCCAAGAATCAAAACATACATCCAAATCAAGACGAAGGCATGCATTCAACAACAGACAAATCCAAAAGAAGCAGATTGCATATCAAAGGCCCGAGGGCGTGTGTACTCATTCATTCAAAAAAAGAGACAAGTTTGATTGTACTTTACATAGGGGGCCGAGGCCAACAAATTACAACACCGAAAGGGGGGAATACAATTTAAGAGGGGGGAATAGTAGGTATCGCCTCGCTCTCGGCTTCATCCTCTTCACCGCCAAGGCCGCACTCCCGGAGGGTCTCCGCGTCTTCAAGAACCGGTCTCTCTTCCCCCTCGGGGAGCGGGATCCTTACATCTGGCTGGCGGGGGGGGAGGCCATAAGGCTCGGGACGGAACTCCTCCGGTGCCACCTGGAAGTGCTTCGCAAGCTTCCGGTAGATGAGGCGTTGGGTGAAGAACTCCCCGCCTTGGTAGTACGAGTCGCCCCTCTCAGCAAGCCACATCTTCCCGGGGCCCCCGACCCACTCATCTACTGAAGCCCCCACCACCGAAGCCAGCCACTCCCTCCGGTCTTCGGCCTTCCACCCCTCGGCCACGAAGCTGGCCACCGCATCCTCTCGAGCCTTGGAGACGGCCGCTTCTTGAGCCGCGCGGGCTTCATCGGCAGCGATACGGGCGGCCTCGGCGGCGGCCTCCCCGGCCTTGGCTAGCCCCTCATTGACCCCTTCGGCCCTTGCTGCCTGCAACCTCTGCTCCATGCCGTCGGTGGCCAGCCGTAGAGAGTCCTCGGCTTCGGCGAGTTTTTTCCTGAGGAGGGCAGCCTCCCCCTCGACGGCACCCTTGGCCTCCCTCATTTGATCCACCCTTCGGAGGTGCTCGCAGAGGCCCATGAAAGCCTGCAATTCACGAAGGCAAAAATAAGGCATAAGGAACAAAGTACGGAAGAAAAACATAGCAATAAGCAGGGAAGAGAGGGGGACTTACGGAGGCGGCATTCAGGAGGACCTTCGCCTCGAGGGGTCCCTCGTCTAGCCGGGTAAGGGCCAGCCGGTCGGCCGACGGCAGCATCTGGCTCATCAAAGCCGAAGGGTTCAAACTGCCCTCCAGCACGGAGGCCCCCTTCGGCACTATCGCCTCCAACCTCTCCCGCCCGAAGAACTCCTGATTGATTTGTTCCTGGGGGGTGGAGGCAGAGGCGTGCCCTTCGTCAACAATCACCACCACATCGGTGATCGGTTGTTTGGTAGGGGCGGCGGTCTTCGGCTTCTTGGCCGGGGGCTCGGCCCCCTTTCCAGCAACCTTCTTTTTAAAGGGCCCGGAACCCTTGGACCCTCCGGCGCCAGCAGCAGCGCCAACAGTTTGAGAGGGCCCCGCCCTAGAAGGAGCGCCCGCCGGGGCCTTCTTCTTTCCTTTCGCGTTTTTTAAAGCGAAGAGGGAACCAACGTCCATATTGCTACCTGCAAGCAACAAAAAAAAACAGAAGGGTTAAATCGAAGGCTACCAGTCACTACGTCATAAAAAAAAACAGACGGAATGCGAAAGAACTATCAACGCATCAGTAAACATTTCGGTGATCACCTCCGGCGCCTTCGAAGACCCTATCGAGGGGAGGGTATCTCTCATCCGAGGAGCCCCTCGGCCTGAACTGCCGGAAGCCTAGGTTAAGCAGATCCTCCGGAAGGGTGACTTCTCTGATCTTGACATGCTTGTCAGACCCCTCCGGCTTCTTGGCAAGCACTTTGCCGTTCTTCTCCAAAGCTGCGCTCCCCACCTTCGGGTGGCGCCGGAAGCTATTACGGAGCTGGGCCGGGAAGGGATTCTCCTCGAGGCGGATATAACAGAACCTCTCTTTCCACCCCTTGTGAGACGAGGGCACATCATCGAAAAGCCGGAACTCCGGTACCTGCTGAAGGTTGGCAAAGCCCTCAGCATTTGAATGTCCCCCCCCGGCAAAGGTTGAAGGACATGAAGAATTGGTCGAGTGTGGGCTCGACCCCCCGGCTCTGACACAAGGAAAGGAAGCCGGCCACGTAGGAGTGGCTGTTGGGCGTTAGCTGGCAAGGGGCCAACCCCACAAATCTCAGGTACTCCAAGAGGAAAGGATGGAGCGGGAACCGAAGCCCCATTTCCACCGAGAGGGTGTGAGCAGCAAAGCACCCCTCGGGCGCGTATCGCAGCAAGTCATCGGCCCTGGGCTCCACCACGCGCGCTGAAGGCCCAACCAGCATCTGGGTGGACTGGTATTCTGCCGCGGACGCCTTCGTCTTCAGCTCTAGGGCAGCAGTGTTCAAAAACGAATGGCCCTCGGGTATGCCCACCGGCCGCCCTGCATCCACTGCCGCTTGCTTCTTCCTCGGGGCCGCCTTCGTCTTGTTTTTCTTCCCGGGAGCCACACTTATTGGTGTCGGGTCCAATGGCCGGGAGGAGCTGGCTTCCCCGGCACCCCGGGGGGGAGGAATGGCAACCGTCACCTTCAGCCGCTCCCTCTCCTCTTCCTGCTCGGCGGTTTGCACGGCAAGGGCAAGCTCCTCATCCTCGTTCTCTTGCTCGAAGCCCTCGGCTTCGACTTCGGCCTGGAGGTCCTTCTCCACTTCCATAGCCACTGCGGCATCACCGGCTGCCGAGGACTCCACACTCGAAGACTCCACATCTGAGCATGTCACCATCTCTACCGAAGGCTCCCCCGAAATATCCTGGGAATCACTCTGGGACGACATGCTGACTCTGGTTCGAAGGCTCGCGGACACTATTGTTTTCTAAATTTTCTATCTCCTAAACTAAGGGCACAGTACAGCTATGCTAGAAGGAGAAAGGCAGGGAGCACTGACCTCGAAAGCTGAGTTTTGACCGAAGGCTGAACTTTCTCTCTCTAGGAAAATTGACAGAGCTTCGCTAACAAGTTTATCGCACACGGAGCACTGCCTGGCCTTGGGGCATTTATAGGCGATGAATCCGGGCTTGGGCCTGGATTCCGGGCCTCCGGATGGACGCCATCATTACTCACCGCGTCTTCGCCCAACCGGTGACGCCGCCCACGGACAGCCAGCCATCACACGCCACGTGTGCCCCCCCCCCAACGGCTATATCCCGTCGTTACATATTCCAACGGCTATATTTCCAACGGCTATATTTTGGAAGCCCCCGGGTTTTCTACTTCACTCCACTTCATCAAGGATAGCCTCCGGGTGCACTCACTCAGAAGTGCCCCCGGGTTGTGCCCCACACAGTACATTACACATGCCTTCGGGATCACCCCTTCAGATCCCTAGAGCTGCATATCAGGGCACCCCTCGGGGTTTCCCCCTCAGCACCGCAAAACTGGGTAGCCCCCGGGGAGTTTCCTCATTGACGGATGGCCCCTGGCACACAGGTAACGGGGAGCCCTCGGGTACCTTCATCACCACTTCATCAACAAACAGTGGACCCCCCGGTAACAGCTTCACTGCTGCCCTCATCTGCAGGCTCTCGATCCCTGGATTGAGGGGCTCCCCTTCGGCGCCACCAGGACATCAACATCCAGCCTTCGGCTAATCAACACATGAGCCCTCAAAAGAGAGAGCCTTCGGGATTCCCGTCATTCTCCATTTTTTACCAAGGTTTGATATTTTCGATTCATCATTGGGGGAATTCGGTGCACTCTTTTTCCCTCATTAGGATTTTTTCCCAAAGGGTTTTTCCTAATGAGGTTTTTAACGAGGCATCCCCCCAAAATGAAACGAAAAACGTCAGCCTTCGGCAAACAACAGCAACATAACTACTTTACTCCTTTTCACCACTTTACAAGTGCCTCAAGGAGTGGGGGACTGGAGGACCCCTTCGGGAAAATCATTAAATTACAAAATCTGCGAAATTCCAACAAACAACAAAGCAAGCCCTCAAGTCCCGACATGTGGGTAACTGAGGGACTGCCTTCGGCAGGGACATAAAAGCAACAACTCCTCACCAACTTCGGAGATCACAACAGGACAACATCAAAAGGCAAGCACAAATTACTCCTTTTCCCTCAAGTACCTTTCGGCAAAAGGAGTGAGGGACTCCTGATGGAGTATATGGCCCGGGAACCCCCGGCCCACAGACTCCTACTACTCCATCGAAGGCCCAACAGGCCTAACCCCCCCTGGCCGAAGGGTCTAAAACTCTCACAGAACGGGTTTCTCAAGCAAACTAAGAAACTGGGAGAAAATGGCGAAAACAGTAGCCCTCGATACTGTGAGCCCTCGGCACCAAAGTGCCCTCGGTTGGGGGAGCCTTCGGCTACTGCTCTATGGCCGAAGGCATCTCACTCGACAAGATATCCGCCTCACATGCGTACAGATCACCGTACTCTGCACAGACGTCCCATCCAACATCCGCATTAAATGCGGCCACATGCGGGCTGCCAGCGCCAACCAGTTGAGGCGACCCCTCGGCCAATGAGCGCTTAACACGTGTCCCTGCCCGGCATTTATTGCTACTATAAATAGCCCCCCTTTTCCCCATTTGTAACCAGGTCGGAACACGCTGAAAACGCTCCACATTTATAATACACTCTCTCTCTATATATTTACTTGCTCTGACTTCATTCTAGATTATTCCCCGTAATAACCCTTCGGATACATACCCCCGGGTAGACTATCCATCACACACCATCCGAAGTAACGAACGCCGTTTTCTCTGCATCAGCCGGGTGCATGAATATCTGATGGTAACCCCGGAAAGCATCCATGAAGCTCAGCAATTCACATCCGGCAGTTTCATCTACTAGCTGATCGATCCTCGGCACTGGATAGGGATCCATGGGGCAAGCCTTATTCAGGTCAGAGTAATCCACGCACATTCTCCAAGTAGATTGTTTTGGGGCTAGAACCACATTGGATAGCCATTCTACGTGGATTACTGGACAGATGTGCTTTATTTTCAGCAAGGTGGCCACCTCCCGCTTTGTGAATTCCCGCCGTTCGGTTGCTTGATACCGTTTCTTCTGCTGGACTGGTTTTGCATCAGGCCGAACGGCAAGTTTGTGACATATTATCTCCGGATCAATACCGGGCATATCTTCTGGCCCCCGGGCAAATAGTACCTGAAACTTTTTTAGGATGGCAATCACGCCATCCCGGAGGTCAGCCTCCAGGTCTACCCCGATAGCTACCTTACGGTTCGGGGGGGAATCCAGGTCGATTTGTTCAAGAAGGGTGGCGGGCTCCGGGTGTTCCTCGAACTCCGTTCGGTGGGTTTCCACCTCAATTGTATTAACCCGCATCCCACGAGTGTTCATCTGTTTCAGGGCCTCTCGATAACATGTCCGGGCTGTCGTCGGATCAGTTCTGGCCACCCCAACCCCAGTGTCTGTAGGGAATTTGATGCATGAGTGGCGGACAGAGGCTATTGCCTCGAGATCTTCCAATCCCGGTCGGCCCAATATGGCATTGTGGGCACACTTTATATCCACCACCACGAACGTCATTCGGAGTGACGCTTTGTGTGTTTCATCCCCAATTTCAACCATCAATTGGATGGTACCCTCAGCCTCAATGCAAATACCGATGAAACTTGCCAGTGGGGTTCGTAGGTGGGTCAGTTGACTTCTTTGTAGACCCATTTTTTCGAACGATTGTAGATACAATACATTCACATTGCTCCCGGTATCGACCAGTACTCGGCGGATCAAAGCATTGTCAATACACATGCTTACCACCTGTTCATCCCTGTGCGGGCTTGGAGAGTTGGGTAAATCAGCTGGCCCGAACGTGATCGGTTCCGTCCTTCCTTTCTTCTGGGGGGGAGCGGAGACGGATCCCACATAAAGACTTCGCTCGAACCTTTTCCGTTCGGCGTTCGAATCCCCTGTCTCCCCGCCCCCGAATATAACCTTGACCTCCATTCGAGGTTTCTTTCCAGGGCCTCCCGAGCCCTCTGGTTCATCCCTGGGGGGAACATATACATCATTTTGAGGCTGGGCATCACGTTGGGCATCCCGGCGCCAGCTATTAGGTTTCCTGATCGGTTTCAACGTGCCTACAGCATTTGGATCTTTATTCACATACTTGCCCAGATGACCCCTTCGGATCAAATCCTCAATGGCTGTTTGTAGGGCCCTGCAGGCATTGGTGACATGACCCTTCCTGTTGTGATATTTACAGAAAGCATTGTCATCCGCTCCCATAAACTGTCCAGAATCAGTCGGGAGGGGAATATTGTCCCTCTCGTGCTGATAAATGGTCGCTACTGATAGGACCAGGGGAGTAAATCTCCCTTGCTTGGGAGGTATAGCGGCCGCTGGGCTAGGACCCAGCCGATCGGCCATTCTGATCGGGGCAGCACACGCAATGACCTTATCCCTGATCATTATCTCCTCTT